AAAAAAAAAAAAAAAAAAAAAAAAAAAAAAAAAAAAAAAAAAAAAAAGGCGCATTTTCCCTCCTCTCTCTCTTCTCCATTTCCAAAAGGGACAAAATGGATGTTTGGGCCATTCTGCTGCCTCAATGGTCCGGGGCTGCCCGGTTCCCCGGGCCGAGGGTGCAGCACATTAAAGCCCTGGGGCCGCCGTATCTATTTAACSCGGCGTAAAGACAACGTGATCGCGGGGGTTCCGCTGCCCCCAGCCCTGCRAGAGCCGCAGCCCTCGCTGCCGCCCGTGCCCTGGATCGTTCTCGGTTCCGTCTCCGGCCCGGGCCGCTTGTCCCAGCCCCCTGCCCGGGACGGTGCCAGTGCCCCGGGTCTCGGCGCTCGCTGTCGCTAAGTCCTTAAGGATGCGGATTTGCGGAGGGAGGTAAATACCCGCCACTCCCCTCTCCCCTGCCCCGCAGGGAACTCCCCGCCCGGGACACCGGGAGCCGCTGGGGCTCCTGGTAGGTTCAGACACCGGCAGCCGCCCCCTGCCCGGGCTTCCCGGCCCGCTCCCCCCGTGCCTGTTCTCCCAAGTTGGAGGAAGTCCGCGAGGGGGGACGCGAGCCTCCGCTATCCGGGGCCCTTCGGGTGGAGCGGGGTATTTGATTTTATTTATTTGTATTTTTAAATTTTATTTCCGCATTAAAGGCTGCCGTTGGGGCAGCCCGGTGCGAGCTCCGGGCTGGGGGCGAGGAGGGGCGCGAGGCGTGGAAAGCGGCCGCCCCCCCCCCCGGCTCCCGCAGCGCCGGGAACAATGGCCACGGGCTCCGTGGGGACAATGCCCGGCGGAGCCCAGCTGCTTGGGTTGCAGGACACGTCCTCCAGGGCCTCGGCCACCCTGGCCCCGCCGCCCGGCCGGGCACCCCCGCTCCTCGCTGGGTGAYACCAAACTTGGGCAAAGTGTCTCCTGGCCGCCCCCCTTCCCTGCACCTCTCTCCTCCTCCTCCTTCCCCGCTCCAAGTCCTCGCTTTGGGAGGGGGTGTTAAACGCCCGGGACTGGGCGGCTCAGCCGAGTGGCTCAACCCAGGGCTGGGCAGGCCCTGGGGCTCCCGTTGGGACTCAACAGGTCGGGACCGAGGCCACTTGGCGAGGCGCGGCCCGGGCCGCTTTGTATCCCCCCCACCGCCACACTCCTCCTCACCACCTTCCTCCCTCCTCGCTCCCGCTTCAAGTGCTTCCCCCCCAATCCCCGCTCCAGCCACCTCCCCCCTTCCCGAGCCCTCTTCATTATTTCTGTTATCATAAGGCAGCCTCCGTGCCCAAACGTTGGCATCTGCGCGGCAAACAGAGTGTGATTGTTAGGGAGCCTGGGAAAGCGCGGGCGCGGGGGCGGCGGCGGCCCCCGCGCCGCGGGCACTTCTGCTCGCTCAGACGCGATTGTCATGGAAATGCGCTGCCCGCATGCTGTTGAACTTGATGTTGACTCCTTTTCTTTGGGGCTACACGTCTTCCCGGCCACTTGTTTGTGGGAAAATTTTCTCCGGGGGCTACAGTGTGAAATTAATTAATCAGGGCCTCTAGATGGCAATGGGACACAAAAGGGGAGAGCCGGGGGAAACTCTGGCAAACTTACAAAAGCGACCCGGGGTTTATAGCCGGGCTGCCCGCACGGGCGGCCCTGCCCGGGGCCGCGGCCGGAGGTAAGGGGCTTCCAAGCGCCCTCGGAGCCGAGGGTCTGCCGAGATATCTATTATAATTTATTATTGTTATTATTATTATTAGCATT